GCACAGCCCACTGCCATTCTCCGCGGCCATGCCTCGCACATCCACGCAACTTTGTTTGTTCGTCAGAACAGCCGTTTGTTGACGGGCGACGCGGATGGCTGGGTCGTCCTCTGGAATGTTCAGACGAAGCGACCAACTGCTGTCTGGCCAGCTCACGATGGCCCCATCCTAGGCTTCGCCCAATGGGGAGATGCAAAGATCATAACGTGCGTGTCACTGTAGCAAACCACCAATCACCCTAAGACTAGCCCACGTCTGCCTGACGAGCTCTACTAACATCAGATCGCGGATACAGACATGGACGGGACAACAGAATAAGAGTCTGGCGACTTGCACTCGAAGACGAGACAGAGAAGCTTTCATCAACATTACCTGAAGATGGGAACCGAGAACACACGCCCAAACCGTGGCTTCTTCATTCGCTTCCCGTCAACACTCTCAACTTCTGCTCCTTCTCCATGGGCTATCAGCATCCTCCAGCCTCTGTCGCAGAGGATGACTCCATCTTTGTGGCAGTCCCGTCAACAGACGACAAGGTGATCGACGTGTATAGCTTCCCTGGTGAGCTACTCAAGGTCAGGATCCCACAGATACGAACCGTCGAAACAGGCATGGTCATGGCCGTGAGATTTGTTCGTAATAGAGCCACGCAGAGACTTCTCCTGCTCGCAGGGTATGAAGGCGGGGTCACTGCAGCCTTCAAGCTGGCTGAAGAACACCCCGACACGAGCGTAGAGACTGCCCAGCTTGTATACCTCAGTCAACCCCATTCTCAGCCGATTCTGTCATTGGACGCTTCGCCAGAGGGTGACTTCTATTTCACATCCTCGGCAGATGCTATAGTAGCCAAGCATCAGATACCGGAGTTGCCATCCATTCCGGGTAAAGAAGACAACGACCCACCCGTACCGTCTTCAAATCTATTCACAAAGCAAACTGTTGATCAGCCGAGCTCCAAGAAAGCGACACCCAGCGGTCTATCTTCACTGCTTTCGTCGGCCGCACCGCTACCGAAGTTCAAGCCTGCTCCGCCAGTCCAGAAAGTGGTCAGCTTACAAGCCCCGTACAAAACAACAGACACCAAACACGCAGGTCAACAGTCGCTCCGTGTCCGCTCGGATGGCAGGCTTCTGATTACCGGTGGTTGGGACTCACGGATCCGCATATACAGCACCAAGACGCTCAAGGAAGTTGCCGTGCTGAAGTGGCACAAGGAAGGAGTCTACTCCACTGCATTCGGTGAGATTCTTACACAAGATGAGATAGGTCGCGGAGATGGGGCTGTCAACAAGCGGCAAAGAGACCGTGAGGAGCAGTCGAAGCTTAAACACTGGGTCGCTGCAGGAGCTAAAGACGGGAAAGTCAGTTTGTGGGAAGTGTTCTGAGTTGCTGTGTGGCCTTGTCATGAGATTTGGAGTACGCCGACCGTCTCATGATGACGCATGTATACAAATAGATGTATTGTAGTATAAAATGGCACGTTAATAGCAATCTACCAAGCAACTGTCAGAGTCGGTGGTGCTGATGGATAGCGAATCGGAGGTGATGGTGCGCCGGCGTGGCTTCCCCACAAGAAGCCGAGGCATAGCGACCGGGGAAGTGGGCCTGCGATGTCACCGTCCATCGTCGCGACGCTCCATGCCTGCTTCACCATGTCGTAGTAACAGTGCCAACGTGGACTGACACGAAATCAAAACACCCGAAAAACTCCATCTCCCGAGATCGATTCCTAAACGCGTCCTTCCCATGCGATACGCGCTTTCCGCCGCACCCTTTCCCTAAGGAGACGCTCCTTGCATATCCCACATCCGCATTCCAATCAGCATGGCCTCCTCAGACGAGGACCGGAAGTCCTCCACCGCGCGCCCCTCCAGCCCCGAACAAGCTCCCGATCTCAGCATCACAGCCGACGACAATGTCTACCTGCACGCAGCCGGCTACAACGAATCGCCCGACCGCGGCCTTATACACAGCTTCGCGCGCTTCCGATCCTCGCCGCTCGATTTCATTCGCGAAGTCTCGCTACACTTCTCAGGGACAGGATGGAGGTCTTTCGACGATCACATTGGGCAGCCAGAGTTCTACCCGGGCTTTAGCGAGGATATGAAGGCGAGGGTGTTGAGCAACCCAATGCTCGTCGCCAAAGTGCGCGAGTTGGCGAACAAGAGGGTAGAGGTTGAGGCGAAAGAAGGGCTTTTGGGCGAGGATGCGATGCATGGGGTTGGTGTCGGCGAGAAAGATAAAAAGGCAAAGAGGAGGGTGCAAATTGAGGAATCGCTTATGCAAGTCAGCGAGGGCTGGACGGATTCCATGATCTGCAAGATGGAAAGCAAAGGCTTCATAAGAGGTGCATACTATTTCGCTACACAACTCTTGACAAGAGCATACCACCAGGGCGTCCACGTCTCGAGCGAGGAAGTGCTACGCCTGCGCGCTGTCGCCGAGAAGGCAGCGAAAGACAAGCACTCCATCATCTTCCTTCCGTGTCACCGCTCGCACGTAGACTACGTCTCGCTACAAATCATCTGCTACCGACTCGGACTTGCTCTGCCAACAGTCGTGGCTGGGGACAACCTCAACTTCCCAGTCGTCGGGTCCTTCCTACAACATGCCGGCGCTATGTGGATACGAAGGAGCTTCGGGGACGATCAGCTGTACATTACACTTGTACAATCCTACATCGATACCCTGCTGCAATGTGGATATAATTTGGAGTGCTTCGTAGAAGGAGGGAGGAGTCGTACAGGCAAGCTTCTACCGCCCAAGTTCGGCATACTGAGTTACATGCTTGATAGTATCGCGAGCGGCAGGGTGGAGGACGCGATCATTTGCCCGGTATCGACGCAGTACGATAAGGTCATTGAGGTCGAGTAAGTCTTTCGATCAGCTTGGTCCCAGAGGGAAAACTAACACATCGCAGCTCATACATTAGCGAACTCCTCGGTCAACCCAAACCCAAAGAAAACCTCATGGACTTCCTGTCCGCTTCCAGCGTCCTCTCCCTTAAACTCGGTCGCGTAGACGTCCGATTTCACGAGCCATGGTCACTCAAATCCTTCATCAATCAGCAACGCGAACGCTTCTCTAAGCTTCCCCAGCAACTCGATACCAAAGAAGACCGACTCCGCCTCCTCCGCACACTGGGTTACAAAGTTTTGTCAGAGATCAACGACGTCTCGGTCGTGATGCCCACTGCTCTCGTCGGTACCGTCTTATTGACATTGAGAGGTCGTGGTGTGGGCAAATCAGAACTCATCCGCCGAGTCGAATGGCTTAGCGACCGTGTCAGGGCTCAAGGTGGCCGTGTAGCACACTTTGGGAACCTCCCCACTAGTGTTGTTGTCGACCGCGCTTTAGAAGTTCTGGGACCTGGACTTGTTGGCCTAGTCCCCGGATTACCAGAAGACACATTTTACGCCGTCGATAGGTTCCAACTCTCCTTCTACAGAAACATGACCATTCATCTCTTCATCCTACAAAGCCTGGTCAGCGCAGCACTATACACGCATGTAAAGCAGGGCGGCGGCCCAGAGTATCAACGCATGTCTTACGGCGACCTGCGCGCACAGGTGCACTTCCTCTCGCAGCTCTTCCGGGGAGAGTTTATCTTCCCCACCGAAGGTCTCGATACCAATCTCGCCAAGACACTCGAAGGACTAGAAAAAGACGGTGTCATCACGATGTCACGGTCAAAAACCGAGCTCGGCGAAGAAACCGTGGATTTCGTCGAATTATCACCTGCTGAACGGACCCAAGGGCGCGAAAACTATGACTTCTACTGTTTCCTCATTTGGCCGTTCATCGAGGCTGCATGGCTCGGCGCTATCAGTCTGATGATGCTCACACCTCCCCTGTCATCCTCCAATGCTACATCTCCATCTCCATCCTCCTGGCTCGACCTCAAGAAAGTCCAAGATCGCGCACAAGTCCTCGGCAAGACTCTGTACCACCAAGGCGATCTTTCCTACTTCGAGGCTGTAAATAAAGAAACACTGAAGAATGCGTACACGCGCTTCCAGGAAGAAGGCATGATTCTTGTTACCAAGTCCAAAGACAAGACGCCCGCTACTATCAGATTAGCAGAGGAGTGGACTCCGCAAAGAGGGTCGAACGGCGGCATCATTGCCGATGGCGCCTTATGGCGCTTCGCTGAGCGCATTAGTGCTTCGCGAAGAGAAGGCAAGAATCGGCGCGATGGAGCGACAGTTCAGACGAGGGTTTTGGCGCTGGCGGATCTGGTCGGTGAGAAGCTTTGGGAGGATGCAGTGTTTGATAGAAAGGAGTTGGATGGCGATGAGGTGGGTGCTGTCGAAGGGAAGGCGAAGAGCATGCGGAAGAGAGGGAACATGGCGCGGCTTTAGTTTGCTTGTTGAATCATTCGTCATGTACTTTAGCTTTGGGAGATATACCATTTGATTGTTCGTCTCATTTCATGGGTATAAAAGCTCCGCTTCTGCTCATGATGTTCTTCTCGATCAGGGAGACGAAGCATGGACCGTGATGTAAGTCGCGAGGTTCTATACGTCCAACACATCGCCAACAGTGGTTGTATGCGAATACAAGAACATATACTCCTGTTGTACAACAGTAAATGGACGGCCGGATACCTACGCATCACTCGTGGTGTTTAGTCGTTCCTACGAAACAGCCATGAGTTCTCGTGAAGACCTTACATATGCCTCACTTCCCTATCTTGAGTGTATGTGGCGCTCAAAAGTCGGTAAGACACCTGTCTTACTCCAAGGGGTGACACACACTTACCCTCTCACCTCAAGGTGATAATGACGCTAGGTAACTCCGGGGCCTCGAGAATGAGGTTTTGTGACTAGACTTCATAGAAAGCTGCCTCATATATTCTCTCTCAGTACCATATCTCCTTCCTTCTTTCGCCAACAGCACCCCCGCTTGCTGAAACGTACAGTCAACCACACCAGTAAGCTGAGTCTGTTCTTCCCTCTGATCGACAAGATACTGACAGCAATCGCAGCTACCAGGAAAAGATGCCTAGTTGCCCACGTTACACCAAAGAGCAGTTGCTCGACATGCTTCAAGAGCAGTGCCCGTATGCCATTGCCAAGCTTCCCTTGCCGGATACATTCAGCTTCCGTCGCAACTCTAAGGGCAAACACGAACTCAGCGTCGGATCTACTCACGGACTCGTGCGTCGCGGGGAGCGCGAACTATGGGTCATCTGTGGCGGCACAGCGAAGCCACACTTGTACTTCAGAAGCAACGTGAATTTCAATGGACTCTTTAGTAAGAACGTAGGACAGGAAGGCTTCATCGGCAACTCCTTCTTCAGTAAGATGTCCAAGAGAAAAACGTTAAACCCATTCAGTGAGCCGCTCAAAGCTGTGGTGGGTTTCGTTTTCGTTTACTGCGGCAAGAAAGAGGAGTTCGTCGATGTCGGCTTTGGCAACGGATTCCAGATCCTTGTCAAAGAGCTAAAGCATATGATGGCCAGAGATGATGATTGTACTGGAGATGGTGCCATTCCCGAAGTCACGCGTGCAGATACTGCCGATGTCCTGAACGCGAATGTAGTCAAGGATCACGGTGACAATTACTCCAAAGAGGAGCATTCGGCTGAAGTTCTTCCTGAGTCCTCGGAGAACGTGCTCTCTGAGAATTCCAAGAAGCGAGCGCTCAGCGTCGACACTGACGGGCATTCGGTAGAGAAGAAGCTCCGCGTTGAGTAGGCACTGACTTCTGCCCTGTGCTACTGTAAGTGGACGAGTCTGATCACAGCTTACCTGGGGGATGCTAACCATTCTTCAGGCTAGAGTTTGCGGGGAAAAGCGATTCATAGCTAAGAAGTTTGCGTGCGAGACTAAAAGTTGGTGAAGCGAGTTCAGATGGGTTGGAAGAAGAAACGACTATTACAGAGGGCTGGCGAGGGGGGCCTCGAGAACTACTCATACGATTAGAGTAGCTCTTACCTTCATGCCTTCCAAAATTACTGGTCACCTTCAAAATCCCTTCTTCCTCTCTTCAGCTCTTTCGTGATTTCGCCTCTTACAAGGAAATAACTAAACACCCTGGGGTTTATGTTGATGCCAGATTTCCCAATATGTTTGTTTTCATTGCAGTGTAGTCTGCAAACCTGCTCGGTTTTTCCTTGCCCGAGGGAAGACGGCTATCATGGTTGGTTGGTAAGAACGGCCTAAATTACGATGCGCGTTGAGCTGGGTCTAGGCAGAGCATGGCGATTGCAGTCAGAGAATGGAGAGGGATGATCCAGGCTGATTAGAGTCTCTCCAAGGAATCTCAACACATTTCAAATCTCCAGGGCTGTTGCTTCGTTCCCGTACTCTTGTATCGTGACCTTATAAATAGTCACTGCGACTCAATCACGGTCGTTTGGAGGACGTGTCAGCGATTCAGCCTCCAGGATATGATGGTAATCGCTATACCGTTTCCTCCAGTTCGCGGCTTCCAGACACGCGACGAGTGACATCACGCAGGCACGCGTTCCGCGCTACGCCGAAAATAGGAAGATGCTTGCTTAGCGCGTCACGCTCCCAGCGGGATGATGCGCCCCGCCATCTCAATTTCACGCAAGCAGGATAGTGCAGAGCGCCCGCCCGGCAACCATGATGGACTCCGAGGATGTGCTGGATCTATACGACATTGCTGTCTTACTCAACTATGAACGGAACACTACGGAACCTCGGCTTCGACACACCAAACTGAGGGAAGTCGCTTTCCCAGGTTCGCAACCGAAGACTGTCAAACTTAGCAGTCCCATCGACCAAGGCTGGAACAACAACGCGTCTACGTGGATCGTATTGGATCAGCAGCAGGCTAACGATCCCGATGCCCCAGACCTGCCCACGGAATTCCTACCCCCGAACAAACGCAAGGATAGCGCACTCTCCAACGAGCAACTGGAGACGTTGTTCCACCAAGCACGCAACCACGATGGCTGCTACCAGGCGATCAGTCTGCTTCAAATCTTCTTTGCATTGTTTTCTGAAGATACAAAGTTGAGAGTAAGACATGCGCCCAATGGTAAGCAGCCAGGCATGTCTTATACGACAACAGTCAGTAGACGTGTCATTGTCGAGGAGTCCTTCCGTGACCCAAAGTTCACCACTGCTATCTGCGTACTCCCGGAGGGCGCAATGTATGTTAGTGGGCATCAGCCACAACTGCTGCATGCCGTCGTAGGTTTCTCTCCGCTCGATAGCGACACGGTTCAATCCTTCTTCGATCTCTCATCCATGCAGTTCGGCGATATAGGACGCGGACCTGGGCCGAAGGGAAAGCAGCTGTTCGCTCTGGATACCCCCGAGGAGTTTGCCCTGCGTTTCAGTATGTTGGCTAAGGGTGCAGATCCTAGCAAGAGCGACCGCACTCTAGCGATCAGTGGTACACCTGTAGACGATTGGCTATGGGAAGTGGCGATGAGGACGAAAAAGAGGTGGATGAATAGAGCGACGGAGAAATGGTGTGGTCACTGTGGAGCACCAGGTGCCAAATCCAAGTGTGCTGGATGCGGCGAGGCGTACTATTGCGGCAAGGACCATCAAAAGTTAGCTTGGGGATATCATAAAGGATATTGCGGGAAGCCTTGATGAAAGTTCTGACGAACGCAGAACCTGCAAATTAACGGACATCTCGTAGAACGTCTTAAACTTGGTGGGTCATATAACAGGGGGGGTATAATTCATCAACACTAGAGTTGTACCTAGAGTTGTACTGCACTTCAAATGTACATCCATCTCTCCATCCACTGTACGGCACGCAGTATCAGACTGTGCAAGACAGCACAAAGACATGAACTGCTTTCCAGGACGATGGCCATATCATCCACGACCGAATGCAACACTACTGTACTCACATCCTCCCACTCGGCAACTCATTAATGGTGGCTGGAACTGGCGGCGACATAGCTGGGGAGTACTGCGGTACAGGGCTCACTGGCCCGTCCGAATAGTGCGGGTTCGCCTGCACAGGATTCACAGCACCTGATATTTTCTCCGGCATCGCATAGCCACCCTGCTGCGTAGCATACGCAGACTGAGCATTGGGGTCATAGAAATGTTGCGCGGGTTGCTGTGCGTTCGGATCGTACTGACCGTAGTGCTGTTGGTGTTGAGGCGGTGGAGACGGCATCTGTTGCATGTGTTGCTGAGGGACGGGCTTCTGCTCGTGGTAGTACTGGACACCGGCTGGTGGAGCTTGAGGTGCGGTGGGTGGCTGCTGCATGTTGTTGTTGACGGTGGTATTGTTCTGTTGCTTCTTCTTGCGGCGAAGAAGGAAGAAGACTCCGAGAACTACAGCGGCTAGAAGAGCGACGCCGCCGATTACTCCACCGGCGATTGCGCCTACTGGAGTTGACTTCTTGGAATTGTTGGAATTGTTGGATTCGTTGGAGTTGTTGGAGTCGTTGGAATCTTCGTTACCGGAGGAAGGTGTAAGGTCAAGTGGTGCATCTGAGGGACGACCGGAAGCGGTACGTGAGAGTGGAGTGAAGGACAGAGAGATTGGGGTATTCGAGGATGAGCCAGTGTTAGGGGAGGTTGATGAATCTTGGAAGTGTGTTGTCAGTCAATGCTTCATCAAGGTTAGACAGATTGCATACCTTGGTCTGGGGTGGTTACTAAGATCCTTCCTCCCGTTTCCGTCTTAGCATCGCACCAGTAGTTGGTCAATGGTGAAGGGTCATTGATATCTGTTGCCAGCTCCCAGTAGCTGCAAGTTAAGTTTGAGCCTCCACTGCGATGCCATGTTAGTATACAATATCCAGGCGACCAGGAGCCAGAACGCACCAGAAGACTGATGTAGTCGGATACACAACGTAATCGCTCTCACAAGAAAAGAACTCGCAAAGAGATTCTGGCGCACAGATCTTGTAAAGGCTACCTGATGTTGCGATGACATGACCCTCGTTATTTGCGGTGATGGTGTCATCTAAGACTTCTTAGCAACAATCGAGCAGCCATGTAGGTAATCAATCTTACACAGTGTACTCGAGCCATACATGCCCGTGGAAATATATCCAAGGGTAGTAACATCCCTAACAGCCAGTGCTACAGCTGTTGCAGCAGGGGCGGGCGTGACAGCAGGCGTCGGTGCCCGTATCATAGCAGTGCTCCCATACTTTGCGGAAAAGAGAACGACCAGCAACGAAGAAAGCCTGGTATATGCCATGACGTTTCAGACCCGAGAAATTACAAAACGAGGAACAGAAAGCACCCTTAAGGAAAGAGCAGGGCCCTATAAGCTAAGTACTCATACCTAGGTACGTTGAGCTACGTACAATGAGAAAGACATTGCGCCGTAAGGCGTGCAGCGACCCGCTGGGGCTTGCCGGCTGCGGCCACACATACGAGGAGAGCGTATTGAAGGCTGATCAGCTGAGAATTTGTGCATTTGGGTTCCATGAAAGCGTTCGGTTGGACGTGCTTGTTGTACATGCAGGATTGCTGCAATACTTGCACCACACCTACGCTTTTCCTGCTCATTCTTTCCGTTACTGCATCATCTCAAGCACAGTTGTTCAGTATTTCCACAAGGTGTTCGTCTTGACGCTAGACGCAATGGTGACCGCTGCAGGGACAACGGATGTGTAGCTAGCATGGGGTAGCGAGCTGAAGAAGAAAGAAACAATCCGCCTCGCTTGTGTAGCGCCGCGATAGGCTGTAAACAAGCCGCTTGCAGCCATCACCACCGTGCGCTTTACCTCTTTAATATGAACACCAGGCACGTCGGATGTCTTGGTCGCCAGATAATCTCACCGGAAAGCCATGTGTTGTGCGACGCGGCAGAGTCGCATGTAGATCCCCATCGTGGCCGTGAACTGCCGAGGTAGGGTTTGAGGCGCAATAATTAACAAGCCTTCTCATGTCCCAAATGACAGCTGCAAGTGATGAGCTTGTGCACGATCGTATCGTTGGGAGTCTTTTGGTGTTTGGTGCAAATCGAGGCCTGCAAGCTTTGGTTGCCTACATAGCTTTGAGAACAGGTGCTAGTCGGTCCGAAAGCCCTACACGATGGTCACATTTGGCCCCCAAAAGCTTTAATGAGTCAGTGCCGCGGCAAGCAGATTTCGGTTGGGGGTCCTTAGGGTGGCTTGGAACAGAGTGGGGATAATAGAGGAGTATCTTGCACGTGGGCTTGGAGCCTTCATTACGCTGTCGTTATCTTTTCAGTCGGGTCTATCTCCTCTTGACGCCAGGACATCTAATGTCCATGGCCATCGTCACCACCTCCACCTTGCTCCTCTGGATCCAGCTTGATCAGGGTATCGATACGCATAATCGCAACACACGCCTCCACTGCTGACTTCAATTGCTTGACTTTGCTCATGCTGGGTTCCAGTACACCGGCCTTTAGGCAGTCGTGCACTTTACCGTTTGACAGGTCCAGACCGTAGTTCTTGTAGTTCTTCGACTTGGCCAGCTGCTTTGCGTCTTGCGACGAAGGGTCTGAAGGGTTCACTGTCCGCTGTGAAAGAGCGTGCCGTGATCGGAGGTTGGCGACGAGCTCGGTAGCATCCTTGGCCGCGTTGATGGCAAGTGTCTTAGGAATAGCAAGCAGAGACTGCGCAAAAGCAGCAATGGCCAACTGTTCCCGAGAGCCCTAGATTTATCGTTAGTCACGTTGTAGACATGCAAGGATTGGAGTGACTTACCACTGACGTTGCCCACTCTTCCAAGTAGATGTGCAACGCAGTTTCAACGGCACCTCCACCAGGGACGATGCGGCCGCTCTCGAGGGTTCGCTTCACGGCTGATAATGAGTCGTGTACTGATCGCTCCATCTCGTCCAGAGCGTAGTCGTTCGCACCTCGCAGGATGATGGATGCGGATGAGAAAGCCTTGGTGCCCTTGACCAGAATGCACTCGTCATCGGAAATGCGCTCTTGCGAAACCTCCTCAGCATGGCCAAGGTTTGCTGCCTCAAACTTCTCGTCACCGTTCAGATCAGAAAGGGTGCTGACCAAGGTTGCACCGGTCGCCTTCGCTATCCTTCGCAGATCCTCCTTCTTACACCTTCGCACAGCCATGGCACCCTTCTCAACGAAGTGCTTGAGGCAGAGGTCGTCGATACCCTTTGTAGTCATGATGACGTTGGCGCCAGCCTTCAAGATCATCTCAATGCGCTCGGTGACAATGCCAGCTTCGCGCTCTCGGATCTTCTCTAGCTGCTCCGGGTCGTCGATGGTGATGTGAACACCCAACTTCATGCGCTCCTTCTGCAAGTTGATGTCCAAGCAGGCAATCTTGGCGTCGGTGATGCGCGTCTTCATGGCTTGCGAGGCGACCGTGCAGTTGAGAGCGTAGCCCTTGACCAGTATCGACTGAGTCGCGCTTTGACCGTGTGCCTTGAGGATGTTGACAGCCTTTACAGGGTATTTGACCTCGCCCTTGTTGTTTGTCATCTTGACAGCAGTCATGCCGTCTACCACCATGTTGGCGAAGAAGTCGGAGTCGGAGCCGATGATCTTGCTGGACATGGACGTCTTCGCGATGTTGACTAGCGAGTCCCGACCGAGCGCATCGACCTTGGTGCTGATGTTCTCGTTCATGTACTTGACCGCCTCCCTCAGCGCCAGCCTGTAGCCTGTGATGATGGTGGTGGGGTGGATTTTGTTCTTCATGAGCTCGTTCGCTCTCCGCAGCAGCTCGGCCGCTATTATGACGACGGAGGTTGTGCCATCTCCGACTTCCTTGTCTTGTTGTTGGGCCAGGTCGACGAGGATTTTGCCTGCGGGGTGCTCGATATCCAGCAAACTGAGGATGGTAGCGCCGTCGTTGGTTACGGTAACGTCACCGATGTCGTCGACCATCATCTTGTCAAGACCCGAGGGTCCAAAGGACGACTTGACGACATTCGAGATCGCTTGGGTCGCGAGGACGTTTTGGTCGCGAATGTCCTGGCCGCTGATTTTCTGGCCGCCGAGGACTGCACGTGTTAGCTTTTTGCGGCGGTCTTGTTAGCTTCGGCGGCTTACACAGAGTTCCTCCGCTACGTGACTGCTCGAAGATTCCTGCCATTGTGTCGGGTGATAGCTGTTCTGCTTCGTTGTTGCTGCCTCTACGCGGTCCAGAAAATCTCCAGCAATGCCCGCCCGCGTCGGCGACGGCGAATGGTAGCTCCGCCCGTGAATCGCGCTAGTCTGGACCCCTGCGCCGATGACTCGGCCCTCCACACATTTGGCTGTCGACTCACACGAGACTGCAACGAGCCGACTCTGTCTTAGCTTTACGTGACTCTAGAGTGCTCTCGCCTTATATTGTTTGGGTTCCCCACCGTCTCTTTAACTTGCCATAACTCAATTGCACGTAAGTAGTCCCAAGTCGCGTCTTGATACCCCGCCTGCCCCACCAACTCACCCTGTTTACAAATGGGTTTGGCTAGAATATCTATACGACCGCGATTTCACTACCTTTTCATCCATTAGTACTCGTGAAGATATCTCTTGCG